GCAGCGATTTCTCTATTAACCATAAGCAGGGTAAATAGGCAATTGACTTGAAATTGGCAATTATATTTTGACTGTGAGTGAGGCAGCCCAAAGGGAGGCGAAGCCAGCAAGGCACAAGACGCACATGTGAACTGGCTGTGGATTGCACAAGAACGTCGTTGTAGACAGCGCTGGTACTCTTCAGAGATGCACAAAATAAAAAAATAAACGAAGAAACATTATGAATGAATAATGTATGAATGAAAATTGCATACACGTGCCTTAAAGCTATAAAATGTTGCACTTTTTAAGCTTCGTATGCCTTCGACTTTATGGTTGTTGGCTACAAACCGAGTGGCTTAGCCTGGGCTTGGGCCACATTGTAGTAGTTTGTTACCAAGCCTGGTGTCGAAACACTTGACCAGCATTTCCATGACAAAACACAAACAAGCAGAAAGCGAGAAGCTGCTCTCGCTTTGCTATTTAGAGCCCACAAGTTCGTCACCTAAGTCTTTTGTTTTGCATCACTTTATGACCAACGCCTTTTCTCTTGATGTCATTAGAAAATGAACTATCATCTGATGCCATTACTATAGCTGCTGGTGATGGTGATGGTGCTGATGCCGATGCTGATGCTCTCTCTATCTGGGCCGTAAAGACCAAAACGGATAAGCGTGTCTTATACTAAAAATCTGTTTTTAATTAGTTGTTAAAACTCTTTTGTCAATTTTTAAAGTGCCGACAGCTACCGAGGCGGCTCCTCAAGCAATTTAAATGCAAATCGCATATTATTACACAGTGTAGACAGTATATACTCGTATAGTATAGTATGTATATGTTTTTAAACCGTAGAGTGCTTTGCATCGTAAAAGCCCAAATCCAAAGCTACCAGACAAATTCAATTTACTAACTTCAGCTCTCATTGTTAAATTCAGTTATTAAATTTGACAGTTTAGAGTTTCGTTGGCTTTGTAAAAGGCCGCCGGCAGCTACTAAATTTACTCTAAGCTGAAATTATCAGCAGCTTGTTTGATTTTCTGGTGCAGCGGCGGCCAAAGATAAAAGACCGAGAGGCTCATTTCAATTAGCATTTTGATGGGGTGAACAAATGAGCGGCGTTGCCTCTAAGCGGTGCCTCAAAAGTTCAAGTAGAACCAAATTGCCGCATTGATAGGCCATTGATAACACTTCATAAAGCAGCGGATCGTTTGTACACCCATAGGAAGCCAAATCAGGAATTTCAAACCTAAACAGATATAAAATATTTCAAGTGTAACAGATCTTGTTTTAAGTAAATATGTTCCCTCATGCTCAAAAATGTTTTAAGGCTTATTTGAGACACATGAAATAGAATAAATTATTTAGGAATTTTTTCAACATTTTTTCTTTGATTTGTGAGTAACCAAAACTGTCAGCCTGCGGCGCTATGCAAATCGATAGGTATGTGGAACAGTTTATTGAATCATTTAAAATTTATGAAATGTCTCAGCTGCTCAACGTTTTGCTGATCAGCTAGCTCTGCAGTCAATTATGCGCCCGCAACACGCGATTTTCGAAAGACTATCGGGCCAGTGGAGTTGGACAAGTTGTCAGAGCAATCGATTGGCATCCAACTGTGCCAACTGTGGCAGCTGAAAAGTAATTAACTTTTTTGCCCAAATGCCAAGTGACAAATTAATAGAGCAATTGCAAGTTGGCATTAATTAATAAGCCATAGGAAGTCGTTAGTCAATTTATTTAGCTCTTGGGGATGCTAAACAGCCACAGCCAGTGCCACATATGCTTTGTTTTGATTGAACAAATGACAGCCGTGACTAGACAAGCTATGCAGTCTCTGACAACAGCTAACAACAGCTAACAGCTAACAACTACAACGACAACGGTAACAACTAACAGCTACAACAAGAACAACAGCACATTAACGAAGCTCGACAACAAGTTGTCGAGTTGTTTGGCAATAAAATTGTAAGCATTTATCTTGTAGGTTGCAGTTGTTGTTTTATAATCGTTCGCCTTTGTGTTGTTTTCTTGTTATGTGCGTAGTCCAAAAATGTTTGTTTTCTTCTTTCTGTTTCATTTTTGCATTACAAAGTATTGAGTTACCAAACGATTTGTCAACGTTTAGGCCCCACTGACACACACGGCCCAGAGACTAGACTTTTTAGCATTCAGTGTGTGTGTGTGTGTGTGAGGCAACCATTTAATTTTTTTATTGTACAGTTTTGTTGACACTTTCATTGATCGTTGTTGCTATTGTCATTCTTGTAAATGTTGTTGCATTTGTTGTTCATGCAAATCATTACAGACCACCAACAACGTGTCTGTGATTCAATTGAAAGCTGTCGAAAGCAACAAGCTACACACGAACAGCCGGACATCGAAAGAATTTAAGACGGAACTGCTTAATAAAGTATTTTTAGCCGAGGTTTATATAAAAACATAATATTTATACAATCCTTAAAGTTGTCAATAGTTGGAGGCTTTAATTAACTAAACTAATGTAGATTTTAATGTTACAACTTCATGCAATTAGTGATTGATTTACAATTGCTATGTTTTTAATACTTATCAATACGTAGTTCTGCAGAGGAAGTTCGTAATTTTATTCACAAAATAAAAAAATATTTGAATTACACAAACATTTTCCAACATTTTAAGGATGTAAGGAAATTGTTTAACATTTAACTTCTACTTCTCTCGAAAATGTTTACAGCCAATCCAAGCCTTCTTTTGACTTTTGATGAGGGTTGATTGAAATTTAGTTCCTTCTCCTCTGATAACTAAATGATGGCAGTGAGGTCGACTCACAGATTAATTTAAAAACCCAGTGAATCAATGAAGTTGCGAGTAAATCAATACCAAGTGTAATAAACAATATCAGTTTTTGAAATCTTAAAAAATTACTTAATACTATGGAATTATTTACAAATATCGATTCTCTGGACAAATATCCTGATGAGAAGATTAATGAGTGGGCTGTGTTGTGTCTCAAGTTTCTATTAAGTAATTCTAAATTATTCTAAATTATAATTAAGCTGTTTTGTCTGTAACAATACATTTTTTTTCTAAATTATTATTATTTAAATTTTAAGTGGAAGTATTTTATTATGCAGTAATGCAAAGAAGTTGAAACGTTTTTGTGAATTTTAACAGTTTAATTTTATAAATTTATTATCTACACGTAATTTATTTTGAATTTCTTATTAGCTAACCAATTTTATTGATATGTTGATCAATTCTTTTTTTTGCATACTTTGAAAAATAATTACTGAACTGAAGAACATATTACATGTTTTCAAATTTTAAATTTGCAGCTCAGTTCAGTTAAACTAGATAGATTGAAAATATTTTTTCCAAATTGTGTTTTAATTTTGATTAATTTCTCGACCATTTAACCGCAACTAGCTTACGAAAAATGGAGAATCAAACGCACCGACGCGTCGCGGTGTCTTATCGCAAAATTTATGGCCGCTTAACCCGATCCCCGACAAACATAGTGCACCACTTACCGTAAGCCTTCGAACTTTGTTTTAGGTTTAATTTAATTATGCTAAAATGAATTCATTTCATTTGATTTCATTAGCAACGCCAGCAAATCCACATAGTTATGGGTTTGAACGAATTGTGCAGCCAAGCCGCAGATTGTCCGATCTCTTTCGGACCAATTTCACCCAAAGATTCGTTACACCTGAGCTGAGCATAGTAGTAGTGGCAGATGGCTGGCGTGACGAATTGCCAGCGTCATGTTAAATAAAATTAATAGAGAAATTAGGCTAGAGAGGGGTGGGGGAGACGCACAATGCTGGCCGCCGCCTTTAATCGGAGGCATTAGTTTTGGGCCTTAAGTGGCGCATTTGTCAGACGCAAGTCGCGCAATTAGTCAATTAATGAAAATCACATAAATATTGGGCTAACATTCGTCGATAGTTGCTGGTCAGCTGGGCCAGCTGTTCAAATGTTTCATTTACTCGGCCTTAAAAGGTCTCTTAAAATGGCAACAGAAACGGTCTGCGCGCTGGACCATTCGCCCGGCCATCGGCTGATCGGCCGATCGCCCATAAATTAATAGTCCATTATTTCTAAATTTTGTCCACTTCAAACTGTCGCCAAGTCGGCCAGACGCGACACCAGTCGCCGCACATTCCTGCCTTCGTTTCGTTTGCATTTTAATCTCGGGAAAACATGGGGTGCCAGTGGGCCACAAATTAGTGCGACTGACTTTGTGTTGACTTGTCAGTGCGGCCAATAACTTAGAGCCGTCGACGTTGCGGACGTTTATCGCATACTCGTTGAAAATGAAAGCAAAAGATTTGTTCCCCCCCCCCCCCCGCCTCACCCCCCTGAGCTTTTTTCTTTTCGGAAAAATTATGTAAATATTTTTAGTGTGTGTGTGTGAACAGTTTTCAAAAATTGCTTAATTTCCCACTCCACACACATGTGCCAGCACACACTTAACCAAAAACTAGCGAAGCTATGACCAGTTCTGGGTCTTTAACCAGCCAGTTGGCTCGTTCGGAACGCTTTGGGCGCTTTGCGAACTCATTTTCCGACTCAATCAAATCAAATAATTTATGTCTTGCAAAATTAACTGGCAAGTGAGTGGAGGTCACAAGGTGCCACACCAACAGAGACCCGCACACATGCCACAACACGTGAGTCGTACGAGCGAGGCTTCAAAGCACAGTTAAAATTGCGCTGCGGTCATAAAATGTGTTGATTTTTCCATTTGCCAGCGCGGTTTCGTTTTGTTTTTCGATTTTTCCTTTATTTTTTAGCCGTCATGTAAGGGCGCCTAAAGCGCTGCAATGAAAATAAATAAAGTGCTGCAGACGAGAGATGAGATGCACAGCCGGAGATCGAAAATGGAGGGAGACTGAGTCGAGTAGTGATTTGCCAATCAAGCCTAATAGCTAAGATTTCTAAGATTCACAATTGCGAGATAGCCTGATAATCGAGACTACTGAAACAAATAATTACACCCTGGCTTCCACAAATAAATGGGGCACCTTTCCTTTGCTGGTTCAATAAAAATCTTATGCGTAATATTTATTTGGTTATTTACAACAATTACAATAAAAATGTACAATTTGTGTTCTCTCGTGGCCATTCATTCGAAATCGAACTCAAAGCCATCCTCCTGAAAGTAGGATTCGGGCAAATCGCAGCCCACCTGCACATACTTGTGCGTGCGCCAGTACTGGAACTCGTTGGGCGTCAAATGTGTCCACAATTCATCACTGGAGACCAGCAAGGTCTTGGGATTGCGCAATGCCTCGCGAATCGTTACAAGTTTGTGCAGCTTGGTCGTAGTGCTGTGATAGCCATTGAGATGGAGATACTTCAGGTGGGGACAGTCGGCTATCAGTTCGAGCAACTGGCACTCACGCAGCACTTCCCAGCCGCTGAAGCTGAGTGTTTCCATTTGATTGCCTGGAATATGCTTTCGGTCTAGGAATAGTTCATCGTGATACCAATTCTCGCAGATCAGGGAGCGCAGCTTTGGCAGCTCGACGAGCAGACTCTGATGCCAGCGGGCAGGCAATTGTACGACCTCGTTGTTGAGAGCGATGCGTGTGATGCGCTCGCTCTTCGCCATAATGATCTCCTGGAAAATGGTTTCCTGATGGGCGTTCAGTTGGCGGGAGTCATCGAATCGAATGCCCAGTTTTCGCAGCTTGGGCAACTGCAGCACCTGACGCAGCATACACTCGACGCTGTTTAGATTGAGTCTGAGCACTTCCAGGTTGGGCAGCTTGATGTCCTCCAGAACGATGGCGCTGTCGAAGGAGTCTGTGATGTCCAGAACACGCAGCTGGGTCATGGACAAACAAATGTCCTGTATGTAGGACCGCTGCAGTGGGATTGAATGGTACACAGACTTGAAGACAAGCTCCTCCAGCTTGCGAAAGCCACGCATATAGAGGCCGGAGAGGTTCATGCCGCTGGTCAAGCGCCTCAGATTCGGCAGTATAACAGTGAGATCACGTATGTCCTCATCCACCATAGTCTCTGGATTCCCCGTAAGTATGCAGCTCTCCACATTCGGAAAGAGTGTAATATTTATGTCGCACAGATGGGTGATGTAGTTGTAGAACTCGGCAAAGGATCCCACGCCATCCTCATGTACATGCAGCTCGACGAAGCGCTCCGTCATATGCTCCATGAAAAACACATAATTCTCCAGATCGAGCAGGCCTAAGAATGCAGTATTTGGTCCAACAACGCGATAATGCTTGCGCCGATTCCAAATTTTCAGTATAAGTGGCAGGAATTGCGGATAGGCACGAGCCATGCTCACTTGATCGTTCAGATAGGTGATGCTCTCGAAGATGTTCTCGAATATAATATCATGCAGATCATCTATACGGTTCGGAATACGCTCGTCCAATGGCGGCAACACTGGATGCTTCGCTTCCAGTGCCGTCTTGTAGAATGCAGTGTTCTGTATCATATTGTGGGTGTGACCTGTTCGAGTGCCAAGTGAGAAATGTAACTTACACTCCTTCAGCAACGCCCTTAAATACAAAACACAGGTAGCTAGGTAGGGAACACGAACTTCAGGTAAACTTCAGGTAACTTCAGGCGTTCTTAAATACCAACGCGCAACTTTATGACCACCACTTACCAAAAGTTAACTAACGCGGTCGCCCTAATCCTTACGAGCTAGGCAATTACCTGGGCAGCTGCTTTCAAAATTCTCCGCAGTTTTCCTACAGTTTCGTAGAACAAGGCATAAGGTATTTCTTAGGTACTAATTAATTGCAAATGAAGTAAGGAAAGGGTTGACAGCTTGACTTCTTTAAAAAAATACAAAAATATATTCGGAAACTAAAATTCTATTTCTGAGGTACTAATTAATGCCAAATGAATAAAGAAAAGGGGTAGACAGCTTTACTTCTTTAAAAAAAATACAAAAATATATTTGGAAACTAAAATTATAAAGTTAGGTATTTTGAAATACATTTTGTAACTCACTTGAAACTGCTTATGCTTCTAAATTTCGAATCAATATAACTTTATGTTTGAATATGATTCAACAACTAAATGGCTTTGTCTGACACTAGATATATAGTATATTTTTTCTTTCATTGTAAAGTTAAATACGACTTCTGTTCTTCTGCAGCATTTAGAGAGAAAACTATTTATATTATTTGGTGTTATCTGCCAGTATTTGTAAGCCATGTACATTTTAAATAAACGACGCTACCTTTCCACCTTTTTAAACTCATATAGCCCATGCTGTAATATCGAGCTAAATTAAATCCGGGACTCGAACATTTTACGTAATTATTAACATATAGTTATTTTAATTTATGACGAAAAGGTCTAGAAAAGCAATTTAAATTGTGTGGAACACAAAATGATTTGTAGGTGCAATACAAGTAAAAATAGTTCAGTGATTTTTTAGGGCTTTTTTTAAACGGAGCAGATGCTCGATACAAATTATTTGCCTGTCTGAACATAACTGCATCTCTCTCTAAATCTCAGAGTTGCAGCAAATAGGCAAATAAATATACCTTGTGCTACGCTTGCTACATACGCTGAGACCTTGCAACATTTGAGGTATGCGTGCCACATGATGATGTGTGGTGGGTACATGGCTGCCACGGGGAACAGGAAATTTGTTGTTGCTGAGAATTTGCTCTGTTTGTTGTGGGTTCATAAATCGCATTGCCATTGTCACAGACAAGCGACTGGCTGCAGGAACAGGAGCAGGAACAACAGCGATAGTCAGGAAAGGTGATGATGGGGGGTGGAGATTCACAAACATTCTGTCTGTAGTTTGCACTGCGATTTGTCTAGCAACATTGTGCCAGGCTGGCCACGTCTTTTGCTGCTTATCTTTACAGTTATCGCTGTGCGCTTAGTTTGCATATTACAAGAAGGCAGACGTGTAACTTTTGAGGCAGGCTGGCCGGATGCGATGCAGTGCGATGGAATGGGATGGGATGGGATGGAAAAAAGAGAGACAAACGTGGCCAACATTTTACTATCTCTATAGTCTAGTGTTTTCCTAGGAAATAGCTGAACAAGCGCGCATGTCTATGCTTAGTTGAGGTTCCTCGTCGACGATTTAATACCAATAACCATTTCCTAGGCTATTCATGCCAAGTTCAAATCAAAAGTTATTCAGTTTGCTGTTTTGTCAACAGCTTAACAAGCGATTAGAACAGCTCAATGGTCCACATAACTAGCTGAGAATGAGAATGGCAATGCCTGAGGGTTCACACCATGCCACAAAACCCATTCACAAGCAGCGCGTAGACAAAGCGATTGGAGCAACACTTGCTGCAAGCTCTCTATACTATACGAATATATACAATATATGTATATAGATGTGTCTTTAGCCCTTGTATCGGGCTGTCAATTATCGTAGTCGCCCCTTTGTTGCTGTCCATTGAGCCTAATGGCATTGTTGTCAACTTGAAGTTCCTTAGCTACATTTTCATTTTCATTTCTTTCGGCTGGGTATTGTGAGTTGTCTGTCAAAGCATAAAACTTGGCCCAAACAATACCTATTGACGGCCTAATGTCTGCATAATGCACTTTTTACGTCGCTCTGGTGAAAATATTTTGTTGTTAATTTTTTTCAACAAATTCATTCAGACAGATTCTTTCACACGCCCCAAAGCTGTTCCAGAGCCGAGAGCCGAGAGCCGAGAGCCGGAGTCAGAGTCAGAGTCAGCGGCCGATCTGCAGCCTTAGCCTTAGCTCGTGATGCAAATGCACTTGTCTTTTCTTTATTTATTTATTTCTTGTTTTTTTTTTTTTTTTGTTTTGGGAGCTCGGAGCTCGGTTTTATCTCAGATCAGTGTCGATCAAAGCGGCAGACGAATTGTGAAACGAAACGTCCCAAGTTATAAGTATATGTTTGTAGAAATAAGAAGCACATTTTACTCGAGACTGTTTTAATAATTTTGACGTAATCACATCACTTCAATCTTATTCGAGATTTGACTTGGTTTTTGTTTTCATTTGTGTTTTGATTTTTGTTTTTGTTTCGCGTCTGAGTGAGCCGCGCTCAAGTGGACACTTTTTTCACGAATTGCATTGAAGTTGTCTGCCATGTTGAAGTTTACTGTGATTTGTTCATTTAAATGAATTACAATATTTTATCTGTACGCAGAGATCGGATATGCCTTGACATACAAATGAAGCTTTAACTGAACTTTTTTCTCGTTTCATTTTTCTGTTATAATGCCTCCATCTCTCTCCCTCCCTTATTGCAGGTAAGTTTTTGAAGAAAACACACACACGGATGCCAGATGCCATAAAAACCCAAGGATGGAATTCAACAAATGCCCAGGAACTAGTAGTAGGTAAGTGTATTCATATATTTTATAAGACATACTTGTATAGGCAGCTGTCATTTTATGAGCAACTACCCGTCTTTAGGTAAAAGCTGTTGCCTGTTGGGAAACAGAAACTTAGCAAATTATTTCTTCACACCTTGGCTCCGGATTTGTTTGATCCTGAAGAAGATCACGAGTGCGGGCAGAAATGGAAGCAAGCGCACGTTTTTAATTCATTTGTTCTAAAACTTAATCAGCCCGAAGTGGTTTCAACCAAATCCAAAACCCAAACCCAGTGACTGCACTGCAATGCTCTGTGCTTTTTGCAGTCGAAGACAAGAAGTCGTGATTGCGCAACTCATAACTCACAACATGGGCCCCCAACTTGAACTTGGCACGTACCGAGACGTTGACTGCCGGGGGCTGGACCGAGGTGGCAACAGTGCAACTGCACTTCACACTAACTCACACTCTTTGGAGACTTTCCCGGGCATACTGACTTTATAATCTGGTTCGATTCGCAACTACAATTCGTTACGAAAACGACAAATGCCATTAAATGTCAGAGTTTAAGCAAGAGATCTGGTTATTAATAGGATGTACGAAACCATAATAACTAAAGCCATCGAAATTCAAGGGTATTCTAAGTTCGGCATTCTCCACCATTAGTTTTTAAGCTCAAAAACGATTTTATATTTCATCTTTGCCACGTTTGAATAATATTTTAAGTATTTAATTAAACATTTTTAATCAACAATGAAACCTTTATCAAACACTGATGAAGTTTATTTATCAACTAATGAACAACCATTTTTATTTGCTAATATTCTTATTATATGTTTTCTATATTTGCTGCGAATTGTGTCTTTGTTGTCTTTGTTAAGTTATATATCCCTCGCAATAATACTTAGTTAGGGGGTAATTATAAGATAGGCAGGGGATCGGAATCAAGAAATGAAGACGCGTGAGCTCTTCAGGTCCGGGCATGAGTCCAGCAGATGATCTATGGATTTATTGAACCACATAGGGCCAACTTGTATCTATAGGAGACCACCAATGCTGGTCCATCGACTTAACCCAAAACAACAGCATGTCTGTTAATCACTAGCATTTGCCAGAATAAATAACTTAACTAAGCTTTTACATATTAATGCAAGTTAATGCTTTTTAGGCAATAATCTTACTTAATTCTTAACATACGTTTTCCACTTTGGAGCCATGACAGTTCTTCAAGTCATCTAAAGGCGCTTTTATTTCGAAGTTTTGGTTTTCACTGCAGGCACTCACTAACAAAATTTTAATTAATTTTAATATTCCAAAGTAAGTATACTCGACTGACTTTTAGCTCCACGCTTGGTTTGTGTTAGGAATTAGAGTTAAACCCATTCAATATCATCGATAGTCCATAATTGAAACATTGAAACTATTAGCATTATATTTTCTTTATCCAAAGGCCTCCATTAAATGATACATTCCATTAAGAAAAGGGCTGATATAACAAAAAAGGGCCAGCTCGTTGAACCAAAGAATTTCTTATAAGCATTGTGTTTTTTGTCGTTTAGCTTTGTGTGCTAAGAGCTAGTTGTCTAGATGTATCGATAGTCCTTGAAAATAAAATCATCGAAGAGTATTTAGTGTTCACTGCTTGGAGGAGCATAGTTCTCGTTTTATTATTATTCTTTTTTTTCGCTTTGCTTACATTGTTTAATTAAAAACGACGAGCGAGCGAGGCTGATGTTGACGGCGGCAGCACGTACGACAGACGAAGGACGGTGGTGCGCTGGTGATGGGGGACGATGCTCAAGTGGCTCAAAAGGACGACACGTTTTGGCTTCTGTGTGTTGAATTGTTGGTGCTTGCAGTTTCTGTTGTTGTTGTTGGTGGGGTTGTAGTTGTTGCTGCTAGTGTTGCTACTGCCTAACGACATCAACAGAGCAGAGAAGAGGCTCTGCTGTTAAAGGCAAGCCAAGCCAAGCCGACCGCCACTTGCCACAATTACGGGGCGTATTTTCAGAGGCTTGCTGCCGTTTTCCGTTTGCAGTTTGTTGTTTGTTGTTTGCCAGCTGCCACTGCTGCTTAATTTTGAGCTTTGTAGCTGTTGTTGTTGCTGTTGTTGTTGCTGTTGCTGCTACTGCTGTACTGCGATTATATTGCTCTAGAAATTTACGAAAATGTTTTTTCTGCTGTGGCTGCTGCTGTTGTCAGCGCGCGAGTGCTCATATATGTATTTATAATTCGCGAATCATGTTGCATTGTTCGGCAATGGCGTTGATGAGCAACAGCAGCATCAACATCATCTTTAGTTGCTGTTGTTGTTGTGGCTGCCGCTGCCACTGCCGCTGCTGTTGCTCATGCCTTACGCCTTTAACAATGACAATTGTTAGCAGCAAGCACACTGCGCCTGATTATTTTGACTTGATAACGAGCTAAACAATAAAAACAAGCAGCAACAGCAGGACCAGCAACTGTTGCTGCTGCCGCACATTTTTTTTTTGCCAAGTCATCGTTGTTGAAAATCAATACAAACATAAGTACCAATGCACGCATGTTAATATAAGCAGATAATAATCTTATGTTATCTACAAGTTATCTGTCACTGTTGCATACGAATGTAAGCATAAAGAATATGTATAGCAAAAGTGTCAGTCTCCAATAAAACTCTAAAGCGAACAGACGCACGGCGGTCCGCGACTATTGTCTTTTACTTTACTCCTACTGAGCCCTTCCCTTTTCAGCGAATATATAATCTATTCAATAGGTTATGGGCCCAGGGCATATAGGCTCATAGGAGAAGTTCAAAGTATTGTGAAATAGTAATCGTTTGGTGACTCAAGAAATATAACATTTAAAAAATGAGTGCGCTATATCAAATAGACAAATTGGAAGAGCATAACTATGACTCATGGAGCATACAGATGCGATCTGTCTTAGTGCACGCGGAATTGTGGAGTGTGGCATCAGGTGCTGAACCTAGTAATACTGAGAGTTCAAGGCCAAAAGATGAAAAGGCATTAGCAATTATAACGCTAAGTGTAAAAGCTTCACAATTGGGCTTCATTAAAAATTGCAACACTTCGTACGAGGCATGGAAAAAGTTAAAGGACGTTCATCAGCCGAGTGGACCTGTACGGAAAGTGTCGCTGTACAAGAAATTGCTAGGCAAACGCATGTTTCAAGGCCAAAGCATTTCAAGTTACATACACGAATTTAACGAAATTCTGGATGGTTTGTGTACAGTTGGCATCGAATTAAATGATGAGTTAAAAACAATCGTGTTGTTGTCAAGCTTGCCCGAACCATACGAAAATTTTGTCGTCGCCATTGAGACGCGTGACAATTTACCGTCATTTGATGTGTTATGTATCAAGCTGATGGAAGAGGGAGAGCGCAGAGGCAATGCAGATGGAGAGAGCGAGAATGCAAGAGCATTTATAGCTACGCAGCAGATCGTCGCGCATTCCAAAGCGAATTCAAAAAGGAATTCAAAAATCGTCGTTTGCTACAACTGCGGCGAAAAAGGGCACTACAAGGCACAGTGCAAGCGTGAGAAAATTCGCGGTGAAGGGAAAAAGCAATCGACAAAGAAAGAGATGGAAAAGCAGAGCAGCTTGTTAAATGCGTTGGACGTTGGAAAGATAGAGAACAACATGTGGTGTCTGGACAGCGGAGCAACAAGCCATATGTGTTGCGATAAGACGTTATTTTCAAAATTTATTGCGCACACTGAAATGATCGGTTTAGCTGACGCTGGTTTCCTGAAGGCCGAAGGCAGAGGAGAGGTGAAGTTACAGACAGAACTTTGTACCTTGGTGTTGTCAGATGTACTGTATGTACCGAAAATGAATGGCAACTTTATGTCCGTCAGCCGGTCAGTGCAAAAGAACAATGTTATACATTTTGGGCCACATTTTGCTAAAGTTATACAAAACGGCGAGTGTATACTGAAAGCGAATAAAGTTGGGAACCTTTATATGTTTCAAGGCAAACAAAATAGGTGTTATTCCGCAACTGAATCAGATGGTACATTGTGGCATAAGCGTTATGGCCATTTAAATTTTACCAGTCTGAAGGAAGTGATCAGCAAAGAGCTAGTGCGTGGTATTGGAAAGGTTGTTTTCCCAGACAACTTGAATTGCAAAACGTGTATGCTAAGCAAAATACATGTACAGCCATTCCCAAAGGTAAGCACTAACCGTGCCGAAGAGCTGTTGGAACTGGTTCATGCTGATGTATGCGGCCCATTCGACACGAAGTCACTTGCTGGATCCAAATACTTTCTGACCTTCATCGATGACAAGTCCAGGCGTATATTTGTTTATTTTTTGCGGAAGAAAGATGAAGTGTTCAGTAAGTTCGTCGAATTTAAAAACTTGGTTGAACGGCAAACAGATAAAAAGCTCAAATGTATTCGAACCGACAATGGAGGCGAGTTTGTCAACACAACATTCAACGGTTTCCTGAAACACCATGGTATTGCAAGGCAATTGACCGTGGCTTATACTCCGCAGCAGAACGGCGTGGCGGAAAGAGCAAACCGGACATTAACGGAGATGTCCAGATGCTTATTGGTGCAGTCGGGCCTAGGCGAGTCTTTGTGGGCCGAAGCAGTCAACACAGCAGTATACATAAGAAACAGATCACCTACCAGTGCACTGAACAACCTGACTCCAATGGAAGCGTGGACAGGTAAGAAACCCTGTGTTAGCCATCTAAAAGTTTTTGGTTCCATTGCAGTTGCACTTGCAAAGGGTCCCCGTAAAGGCAAATTCAAACCCAAAGGGCATGAGTACCGTATGGTTGGGTATTCGGTAGCAGCCAAAGGCTATCGGTTATACGACCCAGAGACGAGGACGATTGTCGAAAAACGAGACATTCTATTTGATGAGCGTTGTGGTGGTCATACCAATGAAGATACCGTTACGGTAGATTTTCCTGCATGCGAGGTTCAAGAGCATGTCACTCACACGGATGGTGACAGAAGCATCGACGACGATGACAGTGAGCACAGTTCTGACGACAGCAGCTCCAACGCATATGAGAGTGCAGTCGAAAAAGAAGACTCTGACGAGGATACTGTGAAGATTGGGCCAGGCCGGCCTAAAATTGTTCGAAATGGTAAACCTGGTCGTCCAAGAAAGCAATACAATGTGCTTGGAGCATTGGTTGCTAGTGACGTAATGGTTCCGACATCCTATGATCAGGCCGTTGGTAGCACACATGCAGTATTCTGGCAAGAGGCGATGCAAAAGGAATATCAGGCACTACAATCAAACGAAACCTGGCAGATGGCTGATTTACCAAAAGATCAGCGAGCAGTTGGTTGCAAGTGGGTATACAGCCTGAAACGTGACTCTGATGGAAAAGTCGAACGTTTCAAGGCACGACTCGTTGCTAAAGGGTGCTCCCAGAAGTATGGCGTGAACTATGTAGAGACGTTCTCACCCGTTTGCAGATTGGAAACCGTGCGGTTTATTTTGGCGTTAGCAGCGGAATTGAAGCTGTACCTTCACCAGATAGATGTGTGTACCGCCTATTTGAATAGCGACCTGCATGAAACTGTTTATATGAAGCAGCCACAGGGATACACAGATCCCAATAATCCAAGTAAGGCTTTATTGCTTAAAAAGGCAATATATGGATTGAAGCAGTCGGGGCGCGAGTGGAACTCCAAGCTCGATTGTGTACTACAAGGCATAGATTTTGTAGCATGTGAAAATGAACCGTGTCTTTACAAAAGGAACGGAAGAGGTGACTTATCATTAATCCTTGTTTATGTTGATGATATAATTATAGCATGCCGATCAAAAGAGGACTTGGCCAACATCAAGTCAGCCATTACAACATCGTTTGAATGTGTTGACAAGGGAGAGCTGCATTTGTTCCTTGGCATGGAAGTGCAGCGCGACGGTGAGCTTGGCGAAATTTCGCTAAGCAATTCGCAATACATCAAAGACATATTGCGTGAACATGGATGCGAGACCTGTAGACCTACAGCGACCCCACTGGATGCTGGTTTCCAAGTGATATGTACCAGCGAGCATTGTCAAAAGGTTGACATTGCATCCTACCAGTCTTCAATTGGCGAGTTAATGTGGCTGGCGCTTACAACAAGGCCAGACATATTGCATTCCGTTGCCAAGTTAGCTCAACGGAATCAAGATCCGCATGCAGAGCACCTAGTGGGTGTAAAACATGTGCTTC